ATAATAAAAATAATAAGAAGAAGATCCAAACTAAGACAGGTATTCTACAGAACTTTGAATTTCATACGATAGTTTTTCCCTACATATTTAAGCTATGGAACCACTGATAGGATGAAAAATAATAATAAACCTCACCCAACCTCAAAATATGTTAATCAGCAATACCAAAAGAATCATATACTTTAAAAGATTTCTAAAACAATGAATGGGAGCAAAATATTAAGACTAATTTATCATGAAATTGAGAAGATATCAACTAGAAAGGAATCTCTAAAAGCATCATAATTGGAGGCTGATTATATTTTCAAAAATTTAGGCAAGGAAGGCTAAGAATTCTATACACAATTTAGAATTCTAATTAATGATCAGATTGATAATGGATTCATTAAATTTGAATTCAATAAAAAGAAAATAACGAAACAAAGAAAATTACAAAAGAAAAGAGTGAATAAAGGAAGAAATAACAGATTGCATTGATCTTGAGCTTAAATCTAAAATCACTTCATCTCTGTAGACTCTTTAGTTGGTTCATGCATTTACATAATTTTAAGAATGCTAAGGACTGTTCATTACACAGTTACTATTGGCATATTTGTGTAAGTCTTTCGTTTTTTTCAACCATTGTTTGGTATTTTGTATTATTTGCAAATTTAGCTAATTAATTACCAATATAAGCTCTTTAGTACAATAAAGTTAGCAGAATAGCTTCTGTGAGTTTATATAACTAATGATTACATTCTTCATTGACGTTTTAATATTTGGATATTGTTTCAATTTTTAATAGGCCTCTGTTGCAGGAATTTTTTGCAGTGTTATCTAGTATAGTTTTTTTGTACCTTTCTTTATCCTGATTTTTGGGAATTTTACTCTGAGAGAAACCTTGTAATTTCCTGAAATAATCAACATGATATTATCTTTTGGGGGTATGCTTTTAATTGTAGGTTTTCAAGAGGAATAAATTATTCAAAATTAAGATTAAAGCTCGATGAATGTAGATAAATTAACTTATTATATCTAATTATTTCTTGCTTTTGCTCTCAATCATTTGGAATAGCTTTTGTGTTGATTTTATTAAGGAAACTCAAGGTTGTGCATTTTACTGTAATTAATGGCATCTATGACATTGCAATATCAATTGCTTCAACGATCGTGTAGTATTTCTGTCCGAAGCTACAAAAATCAAATATGGTATATAACATCGACTCCTACTAAATTATACTTTAATTTATCACTGCAATATTTGCTAACCTCACTAACCAACTGTAAATTATGGCTTTGCAATATGATAAAGCAAGCAGAATAACTTCATAAGTTTCTTCTAGGTGCTATTTTAATTTGTTGGTGATATTGTATTCTTTGGATAGACCTTTAGCTATATGTAATTTGCT